TGTGTGTGTGTGTGTGTGTGTGTGTGTGTGTGTGTGTGTGTGTGTGTGTGTGCGTGTGTGTGTGTGTGTCTGTGTGTGTGTGTGTGTGTGTGATAAAAATATGTATTATTATTATTATATAACATTACATATTAGCACCCATTATAATTATTAGTATAATTTTTTTGGTTATTATTTGTTTGTAATAATTTTGTCATCTTTTCATAGTTTTAGACGCTTTTCCTAAAACCTCAGTGAGCGGGCGCTGCGTGTGCTCGACTCACCACGGGCTCGCGCAGCTCGTGCACTTGAGTTGAAAACTTCTCCGCGTGCGATCGCGGAGCGCACACGAGACGCGTCGCGAACCAGCGCCGAGCGGTAGCTCACGGACCCCTGCTCCCGTTCCCGAATCAGCACCACCGCGAAACATGGACGATTTAGGTGAGTGTGAGTCGCTTTGATGTTTGACATCGGATAATCGCGAAAGGAGAAGTTCGACGCGACGCTAGAGCGCTGGATTGACACCGTAGAGGCGGATGGAGCGCGGTGCTGCTGCCAACGTCAGCGCGCGTCGATGCTCGACTGCTGCAGCAGCATGCTGAAGAACACACGCTCGCGCCTCCGGACGGCTGTTTAAAGCTGCTCGACGCGTTCTATTCATGTGTGTCCAGCTGTTTTGCTGTTGTGTTGATGCTGCAGTGTTGCAGGAGTCAGATCGAGTCATTCTTTACAGCTGCTTCCCTTGCAACACTGTGTGATTAATACCAGAGCATTACTAATTCAAAATCGCTTTGAGCTTTGTATGTGTCCCTAAATGCAGAAGCGTAGAGCATACTTTTATTGCTAATTATTGTGCATAGTTCCTGTCTGGTTGATTTTTAGTGCAGCTTCTGCAATGTGTCAACAACACAACAATTTGTCATTTTGCACCCGACCTCTAGACTTCACAAATACGCACTTAAAACTTTCTGTTGGGTTTGTGCATTTGATTACATTGGCTTTAATGGAGGAATCAACACACATGGGGTCTTCAGTACACTTTAATTACAAAATAAGCAATAGAAGTATTAGTTGTTATTGTTGCCAATTAACTAGTAGTGACGCACTGTAAGACAGTTGATCTCATAATCTTCGGTTGATGTTGTAACTTGTTGACTTGTTGCCCAGGGCAATGAGAAAATGAGCTGCAGCCTAATCTACCTAATCTCAATATTACTGCCTTGAGGCTGTTGGGTGGAGTTTTCATGAGTGGCATGTTGTTTAGTGAAGTTATTTTCGTTCATCTCTGACGACGAGCCGCAAGCATTTGTTTAGCTCAGAGAGTTTAGACATTAATGTGGGAACAGGGTCAGAAATGAACCAGGACTGGGGGCTGAAATGCCAACGTGAATGTAACAAAATCGCCTTTAGATATGGTGCATTCCTCTTTTTATTTGATATTTGTGGACTCTTAATTGAATTACATTTTTATCTATGCTTGGCTATTGTTGACTTTATTGCCTTTGCTGTCAGGTATTTGCGTTCACTTTGTTAGAAATTAGTTTGAGAGGAGTTAGTTTGACATTAATGGATGGCAGGCACAATGGAAAAATGAATTCCAGGAGGTGAATATCGTCCCTTAATTAAGTCCATTTCTGATGCTGCATGGGGAGTAAACCAGTTAACGTGTATTTAGTGTTGTACTTCAACTTTACACACCAGATTAGACTGTTGTATGTTAGAACAGTTATTCAGTTAACAGTTATGGTATAGCAACGCAAAAGGTCGTGGGTTCAATTTCCAGGGAACACACATACTGGTAAAAAATGTATACCCTGAATGCACTGTAAGTCGCTTTCAAAGCGTCTGCTAAATGCATTAATTAATTAAAAATTAATTAAAATTAATTAGAACAGTCTCACATGTGGGGTTTAAAGCATATGAGAGTCATATCATAGCTTGAGGAAATACTAGCAAGATGCCTTTATTGCTGAAAACTAGACTGTTTACGTGCATTGATTTTTTTTTCTCAGTCTGAATAGATTCAATCCAATTACAGATTCTGAATTAAATGTATAGGTTCCCTTCACACTAATAGCATTTAATGCCTGTCTTGAATTTTTTATTTTTTTATTTTTTTATTTTTTCTGTCTTTTTATTTAAAGGCAAGGCAAGGCAAGGCAAGTTTATTTGTATAGCACATTTCATACACAATGGTAATTCAAAGTGCTTTACATAAAATAAAA